AACCACTTTTCAACAAACCTATAAGAGCGCATTTATTACTCAAGATCACAGGAGAACTCAAACCGTCCATCCTTATGTTTTCTCATTAACAGAAGACTTTTTTAAATCCAAAATCAAAGTGTCATCACATTAGACCAAACCTGGGCAAAGTATGGCTTGTGTGCCACATAAGGCCCGCCAGGCTTTCTAATCAGGTCCGTCAAACCCCGGTGTGGTTAAGACTGATATCAATCCTTCTGTTTCAACAAAACTGTAATTGCTGTTGATGCCACTAGATAGCAGCAGACATCAAGTGTGCCAAATTTTAATTTTATAAGTTTATTCTTGTACATTTTTTCCAAATAATTTCACCCTGAATTCTACACCCAGCCAACAGAAAACCAGCCTGCCAGTCAAACTTTGAACCTCATTTTGTCCCGTGAGCCAAAGCGTTTGCCCACCCCTGCATTAGAGAATATATCAAAAGCACAAAAGAGACAGTAATTAAAAATAAGCCATTTTATAGAGAAGTAGAATGAACCTGCATTGCAGATGCGACGACGTGGCAGCGGGAGGAGTGTGTCTGCCCGTTCATTTTAGTTGTGCGACAGTAATGATGTAACAGCGAACTATCGAAGTAGTGTCAACCAGTGAGTCCACTGTATAGTGGGCGATACAAACAATTCCCTGTACAGGGATTAGGGATTGAGTGTGTGATTTCGGACACAGCCACTGAACTACAGTAGAAGACAACACTGGCCGACCGGTGTACAGCTGGTTGTTGGTTAAAACTGTAACGGAGTATCAGCCACTGGATCAAAGCAGGGTTTTTTTAGGTATGATTACTTTAATGAAGTGATGTCACAATACAAACAACAAAAGTGGTCTGTGCTCTTGCCTTACAAGAAGAATTTCATAGTTTTCAGTCTGGAGTTTGCATGTTCTCTCCTACAGCAACTTCTCTGTCCTCCAACAGACCAAATCATCCAGGTCAGGTCAGTTGTGCACTGCTGTGTAGCTTGTCCATATTTTTTGTGTGTAAATTGTTGTTTGTCTCTGTGAGAGATTGGCTGAAGACTGTCTGCGACGTAATCCTGCCCTGTTGACCGCTGTGATTGGTTCCCCTTGACCCTAAAAAGGATTTAGCGCCAGACGATGAATAAAAGATAAATATGTTTTTAATTTAGAGTTAGAGTTTTAATTGTGAGTTTTCTTCTGTGTTTGATGTTCCTCAAGTCAGTAATTAAGGCCTGCACTGCATGTAAGTCAGTTACAAGTAACTAGCAGATCAAAGTATCACTCAGCAGGACATTTATTCACCTCCACAAACAGGAGGGTAAGGTCGACTGCTCACATACTTGACATCTAGCCAGAGTTAGATCAGCGTGGGCCTCGGAAAGAAGCGAGGAATAAAGTGTTGGCAGAGACATAATCAAATTGAAGGAAAATGGACAGCAGCAGCAGCAGACTCTGGGTTGGGTCACATCCTACAGTACGGTCCCAGGCAGACGCTTATTGACTATAGGATCTAATTATTGCTAGAGACTTCACAGTAAGAGCTATGCCTGAAAATACCACTGAAAGACATCACATAGATCCACGAGTGATGCTATTTAATCCCAGAGCTGCTTCACAGAAATGTTAATTTCCTCGTCCAAAAGACATGAAGGATGAAGAAATCGATACCAAACATCTGACCTGAGTTCACCTCACCTCAGACCTTCAGTCTCAGGTAGTAAATACTCCGGGGGGTTGTGTCTGGCTTTTTACACTTTGTCATGCCACTCATGCCCTAATAAAAACGTCTAAGAGTTCAAACTTCCATTAATGAATAATGAAATCTGGGTGAAATCTTAAACCATTCATTCATTCATATCAGCATTAGAACACTTATTTTGGCTTTGTCTTACATCCATCTATAATAATAAAAAATCCAATCACAGAGTGACCTTTGACTCTGGAGTGACAGGCATGAAAAATGTTTTTTTACCCGAAACCCATTTAGACAGCGGTTTAAAGTGTGCCGTCTGTTTCCTCATGTTGCCTGATGCAGATCTGCAGTAACTACAGTCAACTGAATGTTGGTCAGACAGGGAGAAGAACAACAGCAGCTCCTTATTTTATTATTTTACCATAGTTTTTGTAGAGCCTGACTGTTCACCAACCTTTACAAATGTGGATTCAATTTAACCCAATTTCGGTTGTTAATGGTAATATGAAAACATTTCCTGTAGCTTTGCAAATTAATAATCAAGTGATTCTGAGCAATTCCTGGAAAGGTGCATTTTTACTTTTCTGCCCCTTGTTTCTTCTGGTTAGTGGCAATTTCCACTCTGGCATTTTATTAATGACTTTTGATTTGACCGAACACTTGAAACATTCCTGAAGAAATGCTGTGGACAGAGCATTTTTGTAATCGGAAGATCAGATCGGAATACCAATGTAGAATTCATGATTATTAGTCCTAAGTGTTTTTGGACTCTAATCACAGCATACTTTACTGGGATGTTTATGTTGTTTTTTTATTATTATTATTATTATAACATGACATTTCAGTTTGTTTTGTTTGTGCACACAAACAAACGTGGCTTATGTTATCTACCGAAAACATATGATTGACCCTTAAGAGGCTAAGACAGCATCAGGTCCATTGGGAAAAATTGACAAAATCAAATCTCAGGTCACTCCTGTAGCTACCAGAGCATCTCCTGACATATGCAACCACAGCCTGCAGTGGAGGCAGCTCTGTACACCAGATACAGTAATACCTTAGGATTGAGCATAATCCAGGACCGAGCTTGTAACTCGAGGTGCTCGTATCTCAAATCATGTTTTCCCATAAGAAATAACAGAAAAGCAGCTAATGTTGGCATGTGCGGAGGAGGAGGAGGAGGAAGAGAGTTGATTCCATAGCGTATCTTACACGTACACTACGTAACTTACATAAACTTAGAATTAACATTAACTTAACTTAGGAAGTTAGAAGTACAAGTCGGCAAACACATGCTCGGCCACATCAGCGTCTTTAAGCGTACTCGTATCTCAAATCTTTATATGTTTCTCAAAGGAAAAATTTGCTCGAAGGCTTGCTCATATCTCAGAATACTTATATGTTGGGATGCTCGTATCTCGTGGTTCCACTGTATATACAGTCTGTGACTCCAGTTATAGGTACCCTCATTTACCCTCGACTTCTGATGTGAAGTTATTTCCTTTGTAGCTAACACAGTGGCTTCACAAAATGGTTGTGTCTATGTTGAAACGTACAGTTCCAGACCATCTGTCATCAAGACTGAAAACACAGCTATAGAAAAATTTCACATGTATTTCAAATAAGCTTTCAATGTGGTATGAATCAAACTTGAAAAATGTAGTTTCTTGTCATTTTTTTCTTTACAGGACCAACTTTTAAAACCAATGTGGATGGAATCTTAACACAAACGTGGCTTCAGAGCTTTGTTGTTGTTGTTGTTGTTGTTGTTGTTGTTGTTATTGTAGTCTGATTGATCCAAAGCTGACCAGTGGACTGTAGGTGTAAAATCAACAAATTGTTGTAGAACCCTTTAGCTAATTGACCACGGGTGTAAAGGTGTACTGGCGACGACACACAAACAGACATACAACCACATGGCTTCATCCTGTCAGGACCTGAGCGATCTTCCATGACAGCATCATGTTTTCTATGCCCATATGGTCATAGTTTTCAATAAACATGTTGGCACCATAAAAAATCTTATTGGCTTTAACCTTAGCCAAATACTAACATTATTTTCTACTTAAAGTCAAAATTTACCCCGGTGATGCTTCCAGGAAATAGGTTACAGCCTGTGGTCCATATGTCAAAGAGCCTCAGTGCTCATCATATTCGTTCATATGCCAGAGCTTGTTAGTCTTTGCGTTTTACTCCTGTTTCCTGCTGTTTTTGGAAGTCTGTGAGTCTCTGCACGGCTGCGTTTACAGCTTGTTTTTGCCATAAAATTAAGGATGGCAAAAACCTAAACCAGGTACATAGAAAGTGCACATAATGTTTCTTGACCTCAAAGAAACTTATATGAACAGTGAAAACTGCCAAAAAAGCAAATATAGAGACAACCTGATGTGGGTGTGAAATCCATCTATCTATCTATCTATCTATCTATCTATCTATCTATCTATCTATCTATCTATCTATCTATCTATCTGTCTATCTGTCTGTCTGTCTGTCTGTCTACCTACCTACCTACCTATCTATCTATCTTCTATCTATCCCCTTTAAAAAAAGTTGGATTATTTATTAATCTTGGTTTTACATACACATGAAAAATTGGAAAAAATATTTGTCAGAGCTAGATCTAAATAAAATTCTCTTGGACCCGTGATTTTAACTCGTGAAGACAGCTGTTCTGGAGTGAACCAAAAAAATTACAGTTTTGCTATTTAAATCTAAGCTAAAAATTAAGAAGTATATATATATATTTATATTTATATATATATATATATATATATCGCCCAAGATTCCACAATTGGAAATACATGATAGAAAGGTAAACAAGATGAAGGTCTAAGTCCAAAAGGTGTAGTTTTCAGCTTGTATTTTTCAGCTTGAAAAGAATTGAAAACCATGAATAATTGTCCAGAATGAAAAGCCATTGCTGCCAGATATATTAAAAATATATTTGGTAATTTTTCATCAGAATATTTCAGGTTCCTTTACTTTTAAAACCATCACATACAAACGGTTCTGTATCCAGCTCCAAGAACGGCTCCTGGTGTTGAATTAAGACTTACAAACAGCCAATCACACAGAACCAGCTGCTGCACGAACATCGTGTGCAACGGTCAGACTTTAGAGCCTCGGTCTGTCTCCTCTCCGCACCAGCTGCTTTCCTTCTTTTCATGGTGGTCAAATAATTTTATTAACTGCACAAATTAAATAAGACTTCTACTGAAAACAGAGCCGTCCTCTTTAGGAAAACAATAGTAAATAAGAGCAATAAAAAGCCAGAGGAGACTGAAGAACAAGAGCAGGAGGGAGGCTGAAGCTTAGGCTGGAAATGTGGAACCACTTAGGCCCCGAGAGCCAATAAAGGGTTAAAGATGGCTACAGGATAAGTGTGGTCCGTTTATTGCAAATTTGACAGTGGTACTTAAATGGTGAGTTTTTACTCTGAGCCGCCAGTCAGAGGAAGCAGACCAGGCTCTCCACTGCTCTCCAAACTCTCTGGTGTTCCTCATTTTGCTCTGCTCCTCTTTTTTGTTTTGTAGTTGTTTTTTGTGGCTGCTTGTCTCTTTATCTCTGCCCTAAATCTTCTGCGTGAAACAGGACAAAAAGGAGTGGAGGAGTGTTTTTCCTGCGTCTGTTTCCTTTCCTCACCTTAACACTCCTGGTTTTCATCCCTGCCCTGGGCCTGTGAGATCACTTCATCTTCCTCCATCCCTTAATCACCTCAATGCTGCTCATCTCTGTGTCTTCTACTGTGGAACTAAAAGTTTGAGCTGACACGCCTGGAGTCCCTGCAGATGTCCAAAGCCTGGCACTGAAGCGGGCGCTTGCCAGCAGCCCAGATGCATTTGCGACTCTTTGCCTTTGTCATATCTTTGCTATGTGAGGTGATCAGGATCGGGTCTGGTGTCATGCTGAAGCAAAGTGGTGAGTGTGCCGCATTGATCGCCTTGAGGGGAGGGAAGCGTGAGTGTACTTTTATTAGTCAGTATTGCAGTTTCTTAGTGTTAACGCTGGTTTGGTTGACCCACGTGGTTTGAGAGAAACTGGGTTTAGAGTCACATTCACTAAAATCATAGAAACTGTTGATAAGAACGTGATAGGAAAACAATCTGGTTTATAACTATATCAGATGTACTGCAAGAGTATAGTAGTACACTTCCAGTGTATACTTGCAATATATATATATATATATTTATATATAGTATCCAAGCTAATTTTCATATGAACTATACTATACTGTACTTTACTTTACTATCTACTATATAGATTTTTTAAAGACTTCTACAGCCAGTACACATTTAACTACAAGCACAGACCTGAATTCATTATGTTGCCGTGACGTTTTACCTTTTATATTTTACTGCAACAAGGCTTCACCGATTTGATCTAATGCTCAATGACTGAGCATAAATATAGGCGTTCCGCGCTTTAGCTTCAACAACCAGAAGACGTTTATGACATGAAGTGGCTGCTGCAGAAGTCGAGCCACCGTTATATTCAATTTCAAATGACAGTTTTTCCATTTATTGCTCCAAATCTAGAGGAGAAAAAAAAACGTTTTATATCATTCTGCAAATCATTATAAATGTGGATCAGTGATAAATCTGGAATCAATTTTCTTTCCCTCCTGCGAGGCTCTTATGTTTTCATGCCTCACATGGATATCAGGGGCTGAACCGTGGTGTCGTTCCTTATTAGGCTCTGCCTCAGACAGTCCACAGTGGGTTGGGAATTCTGCTCCGTTGTAGTTAATGGATCTATATCTAATCCTCTCTTAAACCTCTTAGTCCTGACTAGAGCCACGCAGGTATGTAATGACCCTTAGTCACACGCACGCACGCACACACACTGACGTCTGGCATTTCCCCCAGCAATTTGGGAATAACAGAGCAGAACCGGGTCTCGTTTGCTTTGTTGTCGCAGCTACCAACGTTTTCCCTTTCGGCCCCGTCAGACGACCAGAGGTGAGGCATTAGATGATGATTAGAAGGGCGGCTTGGAACCATCAGCTGTCCCTGATTCTCATTCAACTTAATGGTTTGTGTCAGTGAAACTGGGCTGTGTCAAATTATCCAGGGTCAGTGAAGAAGGGAAATAACTGCTGGGGCGTGACCCCGGAATGGCGCGTTAGAGAAACTGTGCTGGACAAGGTGTGGGTTTAAAGTGTACGTTTAGGTGTCAGACTCAGACAAACAGTTACAGTATCGTCAGAAATATTAGAGTGGAGCTCATGGGGTGTATTTAAGTAATTAACAGTACTTCAGGGAGGTCTGATTAGACTCATCAGTGAAGAGTGAAGAACGTCTGAGGTCGATGGCTGGTCGTAGTCACCAATGGTCAACCTGCTGTCAGGACATGTGATTTTTATAGTTTAACTCATCTTTTCTTCTTTAACGTCCAGCACCATCTCACATTAACATTTCACAGCCAAACCTTTAGCCGAACGTACAAAATTACAAACTTTTATTTTGCATTTCCTAACACGGCAAACACTTTCAACTTTAACTTGTACCTGACGGTAATTGTACTTGAGAGGCATCATAAAAAAGAGTGGTGACAGAGCACACACACAGCTGAGGAGTGTTGGAGTCATTATGTCATTATCATGTCCATTAATACTGGGTCTGTTTTGATAAGATTCATCTGGATAATTCCCAGCACCTGTTAACGGTCGCTGGAAAATTGAAAAGGTCTGGTGGAGAAAAAAATATAACCAGATTTTATTACTACCTCAGAGTTCTTCAAAGCCTTTATTTAATTAGGAATCCTTGATTGGGTGAAGTTACATCTTGTGTAGAACGAGTGCACACTTCACAGTCAGGGAGTCACTTTGCTGGTTTGATTCCTGGTCCCTCAGTGTGGAGTTTCCTCCACGTCCTCCAGCTTTAAACATAGTCCATTAACATGAAGAATGATCTTACTCTAAATGGACCTTAGGTGTGAATTAGAGTGTGAACGGTTATGTCTTCATGGGAACATGTGATGCACTGGAGAACTCCAACTAATCAGTGTAGGAAGAACTTGAACAACCATGAACAGGGAATGTCTAAAGAATCAAACTCAGGCGCTCCAAAGATGGAGAGATGACCTTACGTCATCTGTGCCATATATCAACACTGCCTCTTGCTGTGCTCATCTGGTGGGAGGAGCTCCACACTGTGAAGAGTGTGCACCAGGTCAGTGACCTGTTGATAGGACTCACAAATCATTTCCCAGTGGTAGCCCACCTCTAACGTCTACCTTACACTAAGTCTGAAACTGATTTACAGTCAAAGGGCTGATGATGCTGCAGACGCAGCTGTCAACGGAACAGATGACACAAGTTCACACACCGTGGAGTCACGCTTTAATGAAAAGAAAGTTTCCCCTCAGAGGATATTGATTATTGACTAATAAACTACAAAATCTGTAAAATAGTGAACACTTTTCAATCATATTAGTCACAAGGTAGCTGTGGATTTATCCAGTTAAATCATGATTAATTAAGATTAATCAATATTGATTATGATTAATCATAAGAATTCCTAAATTTCTACTTTTTTCAATTTAAATTTTTTCTGAGATATACACAGAAAGACAGAAAGACAAATACCAGCATCTAGATCTTAGTGTTTCTCACCTGTTTTTTGTACTACTAATGCAAACACCAGAATTATTAGTAAAGAAAAAAAATCGAGAAAAATATATAAAATTAAACTGAAAATTTAGCTTCACGGAGTTTTTGATATTACTGTGAATTTAGAACGAGCCGACAGTTGCTCACAGCGTGTCAGTCGTCGACTTCTGCCTACATCAAAAAGTGTTTAAATAAGTAATCTAGTTTACGTCACATTATTAAGAAAAACAATTACTATTTGAACAGCTTTTGTCAAAACATAAACAGGAAATATCAGCAGGTGAAAATCTTTATTTTGGCAATAAAATACATTTCCTCAACCAGCAAAATTGGAAAAAAAAAAGACCCAAACCTACCGAGTTTGTAATATTTTATATTAAACGTCATAGTTTGGACAATTTGTAGGCAACATTTAAAATGTGAAGCTGTGCTGGAGCAGCTGGACGGGATCATCATGGAGTTTCTGCAGAGAGAGTATAAAGATGTAGCGCGCATATTTATTTCAGTCACTTGAGACATCACATCGTGTCAGCTGTTTTCAGTTGTACAGTGGTGCACACGTGTGTAATGAGGTTCTTCACATCTTGTGTTGTTTTATCACTCCACCCCCTCCCTGTCACTGTGTACTGTACACCAGGGTTTTACTGTCACTCTCTGGGCTTCAGCTTCAAACGCGGTGATGGGAAAATCACACCCTAAAAACAGGGTTCCTGCTACAGACAGAATAACTGTACTTTTTTGACCATGTCACAGCCACATTAGGTCATTGATGCGCATAAACAAGATGTTGACAGTGCATTTGAGGAAGAAAAAATGTCTCTTTATATGGGTTAAAATCATCTGAAGATGTTAATGTAAAATCAAACTATTGCAATGAAAACATTTTTATTTAACTGCAGGTATTTGCGTTTTTTTTTTTTTGGTTTTATGAAGCAAAATTAAAAAAAGAAAATCAAGTGCTAATTTCCATTTTTTCTAAAGGAAACAGCAAGCAAACAGGCAATAGTTTCCAAGGACAGAGCTACAAACCAGATTTTCTACTTCTTTATATTAACTGTATTGAAAAAATATAAATAAAAAATATTCAAAAAAAACAACAACTTTTACACGTATGAAGAATGTGCAGACTTTAGGATTTCTTTAGTTTAAGAATCAGTTTGCTTTTCTATGACTGATGCATCTAACATTTTCTCCGAGTCTTCAGAAAAGTCCGTGACTACAGTGACTTCTGGCTCCTTTGCTGAGGAAACCTTGTCTAATGCTGCACTCATTTTCTTTCTACCTTAATTTTCACCGTTTCCCGTCCTCAGCACATTATGTCCATGTAAGTGCAGTTTTAGTGTGGAAGCCCCCTTTCTACTCACTAGCACATTTTGCCAAAATCCCCAAAAGAGCTTGTTACACCTGGTGCTTGTTAAGAACCCAGTGCAATCCCATGCAGGGTCAGGGGTCACAGTTTTACGCTACCTAAACCTGCCACTCCTCTGAAACTCCCTTAAGCCTGCAGATCGATAGCACATGTGTAGAGAAGTGTTTTTCAGACTGCGGGCTCTGGGCCTCACAGTGAGGACCTGGAGCTCAGTGAAATGGGTCCCAGGGTTCTCTTGACATCCACCCTGGGAAAACCAGGCTTTTCTTCTTTTCACTGAACTGTTCTTTACCTCCTCTTGGTCTCTGTTCCCTGATTCTTTCCTAATATTATCGCTGCTCACTTCCCCCGATCAGCAGCTTAAAACAACAGGTTAAAGGTCATTACGAATGAGCTTTGGGCCCATTAACCTGTGCATGACACAGACTCCATCAAGGACCATACTACATGTGTCCTGCTACATCCTGTATGCTGTCTATTCTGGCTGAATATTACGAATAATATGTAATACATAATTATCTGCTAAACATGGTTTTAATGAGTTACACAATACAACATATATTAGACATTAGACATATATTTGGTTCATTGGATTCGTAAAAAAAAAAAGTTCAGTTTTCATATTTAAACTTTATGGGGTTTTTTTTTGTTAAAACTTTGTACTGTTATTAGTAGTAATTGCATATCTGTACTTCCTCCTGTGGATCTTAATAATCTATTACTGTATCTACATCCTTCCACTCTCTGCTCAGCCGTTCACGTTCTGAGCAAATGTGTCCAGTTTTTTCCACTTATCTCTTACCCTGCCTATTTTTCCGTCTGCCTCCTAATCGCCACTGACTTACAGCTATTCCTTCTATGTCTCCGGACACCTGGCAATTCCAGGAGCAGCTCACTCTTAAACATTAATATTTAAATATCATTGAAAAGGTGCAGACATTTGTCTAAAATATATTAGCCACATACAAAAGGTTGCTGAATACAGTTATATATTTCCCAAAGCCGCGGATGACTCCTTTGTTATAATTCAACTGAATGAGTAGCAACATCTGAAATAATAACTGTGTGAACACTTCTGAAAAAAGAAAAAAACTTTTTTTTTACAAATACAAATAATTAAATAACTAAAATTTTGGGGCTTTGAAAAGCACTTTTCCATATTTACTTATTTGTATATCATTAATATCTATAAACTAGAAATAACAGAGTGGCGCGTTGGCCCAGAGGCAATGTGTCATTGGTTTAGAACCACAGGGTGAAGCAGAAAATAGAATAGATTTTTTTTTCAGTGTGTGAAATTGACTGTTGCAATAATGTGCATTAAATTAAATATAGGTGATGTTTTTAGTAAAGAGAGTACATTCTTGAAATGTTAAAAATAAGAATTCGAGATTCGAAGTATTTATTTTTACACGCGCAGTACAACAACATGTTTCCCTGTGTAGTGAAATTCTCACTGCTGTCGGGCAGGAACGCCAGGAAGTCAGAAGTAAATCAACAAAAGAACAAAGATAAATGAAAAGATAAATGGGCAAATCATAAAATCAAATCTAAAAATATCCGGTGTATTTAACAGAATCAGACAGGAAATAAAGGACACGTACAGTAAGTCTTCTTCACCTCTATGTCTTCGTCCCTCAGCCTATTGTCCAAACTCATCTTGTTCCTCGTGTCCTCTGTTGTGTCCTGCAGCTCAAAGAGAGACATCAGAGGACTGTCGCAGCTGCCTGGAGTGTTCCCGTGACAACGGCTGTGTTCGCTGCCCCGAGAGGCTCTTCCTGTTCCTGCAGAGGGATGGGATGTCTCACCACGGCACCTGTCTCCACGCCTGTCCTACTGGACACTATGGACAGAGAGGAAAGGACATCAACCGCTGCATGAGTACGTTTCCCTGTCAGTTTCACAGACATGAATCCGTCGGGCTTCTGTCTCATTTGTCTTATTAGTCCAAGTCAAATTCACTGACCAGAAGAATACTGTCCTCCAGCTTTGTGGTAAATTCAACACAGACCTTTTGTGATGTTTTTGTCTTGAAACGTGACAGAAAGAGTTCAGTCATTTTATAGTCCATATACTGAAGGATTTATGAGCTGCAAACCGTTTAAACTGGCCTTGCTTCTTATCAAACAAAAACCAACAGAAAAATCAAATAAAACTGTTAGGTCATCGATGGCAGGGTGACAGTTTCTTAGTTATCTATGCTGTAGAAGCTGCTTTTTCATCTGCTGTAGACAATATGGAGAGTTATGATAATAAAGAATGTGGCCTAAAAATTCACTGACTCAAAGTAGGAGATTTAAGACTCTGATTGTCCTACCACTGAGGGGAAATCAGACTAAATATATTTTTAAAAATATAAAAACACTAAATCAAATACTGCTACTCGTTTTTAGGCTGGAACTCCAAGCACTTTAAACACAGTAGATTCATCAGCCAGTGTTGAACAATGGATTTAACCTAAAACTACTGTTGTACTGTGGTTTTTAGAGTCTATTATTTAAGAAATATCTTTTTATGTAAAAATCACATAACAGAACAGTCTTGTAAGAAGTTTGCTTTGCAAATTTGCTGCTTAAATAGCAGTCATAGGTAAAAAGAAAATTGAAGATCGCTAACCAGCATCAACTGTTTCTAAACTTAAAAGCCCTAAAAAAAAAGAATTAAAAATGAGACTGTAATCACAAAATCTCTAAATAATGATCTTAAATACCCTTAACTTTTATAAAATTATATATATATATATATATATATATAATACATACATTAAAAAACACAACATAAATTAATAATAATAATAATAATAATAATAATCAAACTGTCAAAACTGCTCTGAATCATGGTGCAGACCATCACTGTGATGACTCCTGAAGAAGAGACAGGATAAAAGTCAGTTACTGGGAAAAATAATGCTTCCAATACTATAACATGTTAAACAAAGGTCAGACTGAAACAATCAAACGAATAAACAATTATGTCCAAAGCTTGAAGAACTGGCTCAGGGTGTCCAGGTGTGGTGGTCTGCAGGTGGTCTGCCAATGGGTGGGTGGTCTCTAAGGCCAGACAGACTTGATTCCCCTCCACATGTTCCTGAAGTGCTGTCTTTATTTGTGCTGTTCCTCCTTATCAGCGACTGACGTGCGTCGCTGTACGCCCACCTGACTTGTAGGCAACGTCACTTGCTTCTGGTTTGGGAACACTGTCATAGTCCTTGTTGTAGTTCCACTCTAACAGGGCACAGCAGCATGTGTGTCTGTTCCCTCTGTAAATATGCTCCAATCTGTGGTTCCAAGACAGTCCTGCAGGACTACGGTGGCTGCTTCAGTCCACACCCAGAATAATCTTTGGTTTGGTTTCACTCTTTGGTTTAAGTCTATAAGCAGGGATCTGGGATAAGAGTCTTAGGAGGCTGCCACTGCTCAGACCATCTCCCCTAGTACTGCAACCAAGACCATCATGAACACAGTCTGTAAAACCTTCAGATTCTATGGGTCTGAGCTTATCTCATAAAGTGTTAGTGGGTGAGTGGGTGAGTCAGGGATTGAGAGACTGATTGTTTGAGTTAGTGAACAGATGAGTAAGTGATGCCACCCTATAGTTTGTTATTGTGAGTGGCAGAAGCTGGATTCTGTTTGTCAAAGATAAAACAGGAGATCCAGTATGTTTTCACACTCACTCCTCAAGGAGCACATTGGAATGTTAGAAGTCAGTGGGACATCTAGGTGGTCATCTCTTCCCAGGACCTCCACTGATTTGGCAGAAGGACAACCCCAAACTCCATCCAAACAAACTGTACAAACAAGTGTACAGATGATAGTTCTGTGGAACCTCCAGCTCCATGACCCCAGCCAGTCCTTCCCTCTCACCTGCAGTTCACCTTCAGGACTAAGGTGAACAGGAGACTCAAGTTTCCCCTGACTTCATCCACGGCAGATTTATGAGCAGACCAGATGTTAAATATTTGCATTTTGATCAAAAATAAGATCATTTTTCTTTCTCTTTATCTCTCAGGGTGTCGTTCCTTGGACTGTGAGCACTGTTTCAGTCGGGATTTCTGCACCAAGTGTAGGTCTGGCTTCCAGCTGTTTAAAGGCAAGTGTGTGACGACCTGTCCGAAGGGAACGTTTGCTCATCAAACAGACTGTTTAGGTGAGTGAGGAACATTTCCGTGCTTCATGTTTTCCACATAATCGCAGCTATTTTAACATAATCCTGATCCTCCTAAAAACTACAGCTTACCACAGTGTGGTGCCATGTGTTTGCCGCTGTCCTCTGATGCACCATATTGTCACCATATACACTAAATCACTGATGTCAAATGCAGGGCCTGAGGGGCCAAATCTGGCACGGTATTACTGTTAGGTCTCAAAGCCCTCAACAGATGTTTCAGTAAATAGAGGTGAAGTTATTATGTGTATATATATATATATGACCTTTTGGTCTATGTCTTTTGTAGTAAAATAGGTAGGAAGGTCAGTATTACAATGAAAGTCCACTTTCATTTCAAGTTGTAAGAATATATAAGGTAAACCAGTAACTGTAACCTTCAAAAACGTATCAATTAGATTTGATGCTTTTGTATAAAGTCAGCCCAGATTCCTTCCTTCACTTTTGGTTTTTTCAACCAAAGGAATTTCGAGTTTATCACGCAAGTGATGATTTAAAGGCTTAAAGCTGACAAAGCAATTCAGAGAACAGCAGAGAATGTGAGGGTGACTGTGGCTAAGCGGCGGAGATTCCAGGAGAAGATGGAAGGAATGTCGACAGAGTATTTGCAGTAGGATCATAACTTTAGCTGTACAACATAATGCGTAGATGTGTTTTTTGTGTGTTTTTTCAATCAATGAATGATTAGAAGAAGCCGGATGTTGACGTAATTGCAGATGTCCTCACGCTATGACACGACAAAGATGTGCAGAACAATGATGTCATCAGTCAGACATTTACAAACACATTCACTTTGTTTTACTGCTTCACACCTGCGTGTCGTAACATTTCATCCTACGACATATATTCTATCTTAGTTTACCGTTCTTTTTTCAAGTCACTGTGTGATGGCAGGGACCTTTAGCACGTTGACCTCAGGCATCTATAAAATGTAGGACCGTTCAGCGACGTCTGTCTGAGTGAGAGAAATCTTGAAGCTTTTAATGAACTGCAGATCTGTTCATGAACGAGCCTCTCCTTTTATCTGCCTCTCTGGCTCTTTCTCTGCCATGTCTCATGAGTAGACGGCTTAGTGTTTCATGGTTGTGAGGGTTTTTCTTCTTCTTTTCTTCCTCTCCTGTTAGTTCAAGCCATTTAGTGATAAAATGTCTAATGATAAAACACACCTGTTTGGGAAACGACGCTTTACTGGAAGAAGAGGAAACACGAAGTAGTCAGGAAATGTCTTGATCAAACTTCACTTTGTTGGGCTGGTGGTCACATGTTTGTGTCTCTTGAGTGTGTGTGTGTGTTTGCTATTCTTCAATGTCACGTTCAACAACTAATTATATTTTTATAATCTGCCTAAAACCAGAAATGTGTCTTAAACTGAGTTGTTCAGATTTGATTATAATAGCCCCTCCCACTTCACTGGTTAGCTTCACCTACACAACCACTGCCTGTGTGGGGGTTCTATAATGTACAACCTGAAAGCTAAGCACAGCTGCTCAATTAGCACAGGTCTAAATGTTTGGGTTTTTTTTTCAACTAAAGCACTTCTGTGCACAAAAACGTTAGCGCCCATTTTATAAGAGTGAGTGATTATGACTATCTGATAGGTCGAGGCTAAACTTTTAACTTAAAAGTGACAGTGGAATTCTTATTGTATAACACTAGAGCGTGCTGTCGGTTCTGGTGAATGACACTGAAAAAGGTTGATCAAATCAATGGTTTTATTGCCTAAAGTGTCTAAAATATATCAACATAGCTTAAAAAAATCTCAATAAACTATTATTAATATTATTTTGTTAGTTTTTTTACTAGTAAATACTAGTTGCATACTTTTGCAGTTTTGCCAAATATTCCCTATATTTCTTTCATTTTTTTTTAAATAAAAACACCAAAATACCATTTCTCCATGGAACCTGACACATACATGACTCTAAACAACAGAGAGGTTTTCCACAATTCTTCACCAAGTATTTTTCTATTCCATTCCTTCCCTCCGAGTAAACTCCGAGTTAAGCCCAGTCATCGTTAAGTGATTACTGCTAATGTCTTCCCGTCTTCCCACCTGCACCGTTTGTAGCTTCTGTTCACCGCTGGAATCATAGAAACATCTGCTTCTCATGCTGATTCCAAACTGGTCCTGGTATTTTCATCACTCAAAACAGTTTATCTATATAGTTTTTCCACTCTGTCACTTGATGTATTGATTAGGGAGACATTTTTATCTGGTCATGGCTGAGGCTGGTGAATGTTTCCCATTTTACAAATTCCTTCTGTGGCCAAGTCACTGGTGGAAACTGATGAGAAGACCCCTCTCTATTAAAACCACTTCCTCAGGTTATGGTTTGAAACCTTTTATTTGATCTTCATCATTGTTTCATTTTCCTAATGGAATTTCTGCCTTTTTCATGGAAAAACACATTTGTCCTCTCAGCAAAGCCGGTCGTTCCAATGGCAAAACTTTCCAGCACGAAGTAGAAAACAAAAAGATGTCGGAGTGTCCTCAAATGTTTCCAACACTTTCCGCTTTGATTATTTTCTATCAAAATGTTTTCGCCAATTTCTCTGGATTCATTGTACTTGACACTGATGGAATTTAAAAAGGTTTTAACTGGTTGGCCGTTGTTCAGTTATTTGTTCCTCTCTCTTCTCCTGTAGAGAACTGTCTCTTTGCTCCGATGGGAGACTGGAGCGAATGGAGCGTTTGTCTCCGAAACGGCGCCACCTGTGGCTTCAGGTGGGGAAGGCAGATGAGGAATCGGGGCAATAAAACCTTAGAGGAAAGAACAACATGGACTTGTTCATCAGTCAGTGAGACAAGGAGGTGCAGGATGAAGAAAAAATGTCCCACAGGTGAGAAAAGACAAAGAGACAAACACGACATATATATATAGATAGATAGATAGATAGATAGATAGATAGATAGATAGATAGATAGATAGATAGATAGATATAGATATATACCATATATATATATACATATATATATATATACAGTACAGTATATCTTCGATTGTGTTTGGTTTACTTGCTAATTCATGTAGCCGTAGCATGGCTAAAACTGTACAGAGGATGTGTTTTATCTCCAGCTTTATTCTCATCTGTTCACAGCTCATTAGACCAAATCACTGCTGAAAACACTATTTGACTTGAGTAGAGGTCAATCCGACCGTGTTATTCAATCTGAGGGGTTGGTGTCCATGTGAGTGTCCTCAGAAGACAGTCTGCACTCTCTGTCTGAGGTTTCTGTCCAGAGAGAACCAAGGTTACAGATGGAAACCCAATAGAAGGGAGTGACCATAATCAGTGCATGTGTCTCGCATGTCTCGCTCCCTGGACTAAGGACAGCCTTGCATTTCTTTATGTTGGCTGCTCTGCAGTGAGATATTATCTTAAATCATCGCACATCCTGAGCTTCATCAGAGCATTTTTATACTTTTATGTTTCCTCCTTCCAAGGCCATCCGGCCTCGCAGGTTTGCTGTAACTCATAGAAGTAGAATAATCGTGTCCAGAGGATAATGCTGCTCATGTGTTCTGTGTTTCTCAGAGTCCAGAGGAGCTTGAAAACAAACCAAAATATTTCGAAAGCTTTGTTTTAGGGGCAGGAACTGCAAAGAAAAATCTCTAATAGATTAGGGTTCCCTTTTTATTGGCTTTCTTTTAAAAATGCATTTTAAATTTAAACCGTGTTATTGTGATTTAAAAGTATTGCACAACTGTAATCCTCACGTAACATAGCAACCATACTGTCTGTGCCATTCATAACATGACTGAGAAGCCAGCATTGTAACCTTAAACTCTTGTTCTGTAAAGGAGGATCTGATGATCTAAGAGAATCACAGTTCAAGGTCAAATCCTGCAGATATTCTGGTTCTACCTACAAACACAGTCTGTTAACAGAGTGACAGCACAAGGTGTGAAAACAGAGGAACATTGTGTATTTAATAATCTCACGAAAACGCCAAAACGAATCCATCTTCAAAACTCATGTTTCAGTTTCTGAGTGTTATTATATATGTACCTTCCAGTGGACTCACCACCCACAGGAAGGTTTAGGGCTGTTGGTACGGTGCAGTGTGATCTGGGTGGCGACTGCTGCCCCTGCGACCCGGTAACGGATAAGCGGATGAAAATGGATGGATGGATGGATGGAGTGTTATTATATGTGTGTGTGTAGCTATACTTATGGGGACGCATCAGAAAATATTGTTTTATGGGGACACTTTGACCTTGTTGGAACATTCAACTGAGTTCAATGGATTTAGGATTCAAGAAGTGGTTGAGAGTCAGGATTAGAACTACGGTCAGATTAGAGTTAGTGCACAGATTAATATTTGGCTGATAGAAGTATGTTTGTGAAATTCTAGATTAGGGTAAAGTGCTGACAAAACACAGAAACTAGTGAGTGTGTGTGTATGTGTATGTGTGTGTCCTTCCAACCTTTTGCAAAAAAGAAGGAAAGCATGTCATTTGAGGTAATTATCATTATCATTGTCAGATCAAATGTCCGTTGGCATTAGTGCAGAAAGAAATCTGATACAAGAGAGTCTGGCGCGGGAATCCTGCCGTGGAACCTAATAGCACACATCTGGGATGAAAGGACATTGTGGCATTTCCCTGACATTCTTCCCTTGCTCCAGATTAGATGACTCTAGTCTTTTCTAATTCCTCCTCTCTTGCCTTGTTATTATTTTCATATGATGTGGAAGGACATGGGTCTCGTCTCCTTCTCCTCCTGCTCACCATTGGCAGCAAACTGCCGGGAGCTAATTCAGTGAAGGCGTTTGTTGCTTGTTTTGTGGGTAATGTAACAGCAACGTCACACACATGAAATACGCCCTGGTATCATTTGCGTATCACCATTTGAATCTTGTCTGTCATTCTATTGAGAAATAGCCCGTCTGCTTTAAAAACCTAATGACCGCTCCAAGTGTTCAGAGTTGCAGATGTTGTTCTTGCAGGTCCTGGCTCACCACACAAATGTGAATTCTGGTTTTGGTCAAAAGAAGTAATGCTTTAAATTACACTAAGTGCTAACACATCTTCATCCAGTGTGTCAGCATACCAGCATTTGTTACTGGGCACCAAACATGAAGTAGGGCAAAGACTGGACATTGTAAGAAAGGAGGAATCATTTGATCTAATACAAGATATAAAAAAAAATAGACACAGAGTTAACAGTTGTTATTAAACTATGACTAACCAGACATGAAATTGTTGCTAGAATAAGATTTAAGGAAGTTGTTCAACAAACACCTTGTTATATTGGCCTGCTGTAGATCTGGGAACGGCAGAAAGAAAAAATGATTTTAAAAAAAAATTTGTACAGGGATCTAACAAAACCCAAAAACACTTTTGATGTGAGCGGAGTTAGTTTCTCTTTAACATTTACATTACAAGTAAACTCACATGTGATTAAAAGGAATAAAAACTTGCAACATATTCTTCTTAAGGAATATTAACAAATAATTTTAATTTGCCATCAAATGTAAATAATAAAAAAAAAACACTTCTGAACTAATAGCAGTTGCTTCATTTCCAAACACTGTATGGTGAAAAAATAGGAATAAATGTTTTGGGTTTTTTCTCAAATATTGCCAGAAATGCTGAATGCATATATATATATATATATATATATAAACACTGTGCAGATCTTTGACTCAAGTCACCCTTACCTTCTCAAAGCCGGCAGAATTACAACTGCTCTGTAACCTGTTGGGATAAGTCTGTTTCTGTTTGAATCCACTTTTACCTCTCAGACTTTACAGTTCCACATAACGCGGCACTTTACATTGTGTCCACATGTTCACCTCACACAGCCTTAATGTTTCTTTTTCTGTTGTATTGTGTATATGTAGCCCAAATGTAAAGAACACAGTTTGTCACAGTGAGCGTTTCTGTCTGTACATGAAACAAAAAAAAAAAACCCTTTCAACAAAGGAAAAAACTAAAACCACAGAGGAGGGATCCCTGGTCCAGGGTGAATATATATTTGTTCAGGTCGTTGAAGGCTGCAGACAGATGTTTGGAGTTAGTGTGGAAGCTTATTAAGTTGTATTTATGGTGCTGATAATCTAGAGGAACTGATTGATTCAGCTCCGTTTCAGAGAGAGCACACAGCAGTGGAGCTCCTCTTTAGGACACAACACATTTTCCCTGCAATAAAACAAAAAGAGCTGCGTTCGCCTCTGCTTTACGACGTAGTGCAAAAGAAACGCATGGAGGAGTAAAAGAGTGGACGTGCACTCATTTGCAACCGACCTGTCTAATGACCATTTGTACTTTTACCCTGTAAATTCTGCGTAGTTTTCGATTTCCTGAAGCTTTTATAATTTAAATGAGCAGATATTACTACAAAAAAGCTAAACATTAATCATGCGAGTGAGTAATCTTGGATAGAGATTACTAACGCAGCTGTGCATCAGTGTTTAATGTACTAACAGAAATAAAAAAAATCAAGCCCAGCCATGGTACACTCTCACAGCAGACTCATGCTTCTGCACGCCATGGCTGGCTCGCCAAGAGTAAGTTCAAAACACATTTTAGGTCTGAAAATAACTCAGCAGGGTGGCCCCAGTCAGATCAGAGAGTCTCAGAGCATGTGTCTACTGTATTAAAACCTAATATTGAGAAGTACTGGCCTCCACTTGTAAAATTTTATTTAACACCTTCATTTAAGTTTGAAAAACCTACTGCTAGTTTGGGTTCTGTAGCTCCAAACCCAAATCGACCGTGAGCCTTTTGAGAACCACATACCAACAGTTTAGTAACTGAGCAGAGTTGTATTGAAAACCCTGTCTTTATGTAGTTTTGTAAAAATATAAATAAATTTAAAAAAACTTCCGGCTCTTATCTGTTGGCTCTTATCAAAAGTCACCACCTTTTAGAGTGTTTACCATCTGTGGTACAACTGATTTATCTTGGCATTTTAAAAACCAAGAGGTTAGGTCAGGACTCACAGATGTCTCCAAGATTATTATCAGACAATTCCACCCAATAATAATGAACCATTTTAGACCTTTTTGACCAAACTTGAGTAGAAACCTGTTGAATTGATTGAAGCTCAGGTGTGGTCAGACCTAAAGGGTTCTGCCTCTATACCAACATTTTCTGACAATTGTAAATTAGCTGCAATAAATTGTCTGATCAGTGGATACCAGTCCGTTCTTTGTCCTTTGATCTCAAGATTGAAGGATGAACCAAAAGATAGATTTGAGTTCTTACTGTGTTCTGTGGACGGTACTCTGCTCTGTGGTATTTGGGTTTGTAAATGAAGTCTGAACTAATCAAACCAACACATTTCTGATGAAACATAAAACCCTAGTTAAAGACAACAGCAAATCTGAAGCCTCCTGTCTTCAGCCTTTCTAGATGAAATGTAGACTAGATGTAAGGGTGACCCTGGACCATGAACACTTTAAAATACATTAAGGCCCATCATTATTACTGGCCTTACTTACGATGTCAGTCTATTGAGGACTAGGGTTAACCCTGATCCTTGTTACAGCTGGCATCAACTGTCTGGTATCAACTTTTTTAACCATCAATCAAGGCCACACTTCTGCTCCTTGTCTTTAAAGACCCTAACGTTTGAGACACAACTGGATTTGTCCACTGTGGCCCAGTTGGACAAACTGGTTCATCGGCCCAAAAATTGCCATTTGTTGCTACATCGTCACTTTTGTGAGTAGGTTTTCTATAATTTAGTATAGAACCCAAATCAACCAGCTTCTCCATTAAATACTGGATGAGCTCCATGAACAGAGACCACATTTGTGACTTTTTCAAGTGTATTTGTGGTTAGCTACACACTGATATATCCCAGATCATAGTCTTTACTGGAAAAAAAAA